TCCAAAAGGCAAATCTCAACACCAGAATTAGAGAGAAAAAGCAATCCAAAGACACTGGTTTAGATATTCCTTCCCAAACCAAGAAATCAAGTATCTCCCTCTCCCGGCTAATAGTTTATAAATTCAGACTTTAAACAAAAGCAGGAAAAAAAAAAGAAAAGAAAAAGAATCCTAATTCTCAAGCTTCCTACTTAGCACTGCCTCGCTCGTGATGATTTGTGCGGCAGTGTGTGCGTGCCTGTTTGAGAAATGGCGAGATAGGCTTAAAGTCTTTTCCATTTCATCAAAGAGCATCTATTACTTTCCTGGTTCGCTCCACTGTTGGTTTTATGCCCACCCCTTTTCAATCTGCCCATGGCTGAGATGCACAGTGCAGGCGTACAATCCTGAGCAGCTTACGACACTCAGTGAACACTAGGTGCCTCTGCATGCTCTAGCAACACACTGCTCAGCTGAAGGGAAGGGATTCTTGCTGTCTCTCTCTGCTCTAAGCATCACCTAACAAGCAAAGCGAACAAAGAATGGGAAATAAAGCTACCCTTAGCCGGTCAGTGAATGAATGGTAATCTCTCTCTGGAATAAAGGTTGTGGCGGTCAATGGTCGTTGCAAATGATGGACATTAAACAGATTGACAAATCCTGTGGAGTCGTTAGTAAAGAGTTTGGAGTTTTTTTCACGCCACAGTGTTAACTGCAGAGGAAAGGACAGAGGGAGAAGGAGAAGATCAAGCTCATGTACATAGTTCTGAAACTTGCAGGTCCTAGAAGTCAGCTAAAAAGCTAGCTGGACAAGCCTTTCGCTCTTTGAGCAGAAGCGAAGTGAGACATTGTGAGCTTGCCAGCCTTGCACAAAATTGAAAGGGACTGAATTTGTAGCACAGAGGGGTCTTTTTTAGCTCTGCATATAATTAGTCCAAACACAAAAGAAGCAACTGAATGGAGGTTGTCACTCTCTGGAAAAGGGTGGGTAAGACACTTTTTAATTAAATTCTTTCATGAAGAAAGATTTTTTTTTTTTCTTTGCTGCAGCATTTAACATGAACAAAATCACTATCATTTTACCTTTGAATGTTTGTGAACTTTAATGCTGCACAGCTCCTGCATGCTGTAAAGTGAAATATTTGCCTCTGTGTTTGTTCTGTTTGCTGTTTTGCTTTGGTTTTCTGGCTTTGTTTTGTTGTTTTTTTGTTGGTTTTTTTTTTTCCCTTAAATAAAATATGATGTAGAATTTGGAAAGATTCAATGGACATTCTCAAGCATATTTGGAAATATTCTTGCTAATGGATTTCCTTCTTATTGGGCTCTGTTTAAACTGGCTGCTGAGGAAGCCCCCGGGGTTGATATTGTGTACGCTGGGTATCTTTTCTAAAATGCTTCCAGCCGTGAATAGTGGGTGTCCACAGCTATGTCGGTGCGAGGGCAGGCTTTTGTACTGTGAATCACTGAATCTTACAGAGATGCCTCGCAACCTGTCGGGCATGATGGGCTTGTCTCTGCGGTACAACAGCCTTTCAGAGCTGCATGATGGACAGTTCACAGGGTTAATGCAGCTCACGTGGCTCTATCTGGATCACAATCACATTTGCTCAGTGGAGGGGAATGCCTTTCAAAAATTGCGGCGAGTTAAAGAGCTCACCCTGAGTTCCAACAAAATAACCCAACTGCCCAACACCACTTTCCGACCCATGCCAAACTTGCGCAGTGTGGATTTATCATACAACAACCTACAGTCTTTGGAGCCTGACCTGTTTCACGGGCTGAGAAAACTAACAACTTTGCACATGCGGTCGAACGCCATCAAGTTCGTGCCAGTGAGAATTTTTCAGGACTGTCGCAGCCTGAAGTTTCTAGACATAGGATACAATCAGTTAAAGAGCCTGGCTCGAAACTCTTTTGCAGGCTTGTTCAAACTCACTGAGCTGCACCTCGAGCACAATGACTTGGTGAAGGTGAATTTAGCCCATTTTCCCAGGCTCATCTCCCTGCACTCCCTCTGCTTGCGAAGGAATAAAGTTACCATCGTAGTAAACACTTTGGACTGGATATGGCAACTTGAAAAAATGGACCTCTCCGGCAACGAAATCGAATACATCGAACCTCACGTTTTCGAGAGTGTACCTCACCTCAAATCCCTGCAGCTGGACTCCAACCGGCTGACCTACATCGACTCCCGAGTCCTCGACTCCTGGAAGTCCCTCACGAGCATCAGCCTCTCCGCCAACGCCTGGGATTGCAGCCGTAACGTTTGCGCCCTGGCCTCCTGGCTGAGCAACTTCAAGGGTCGCTACGACAGCAACCTGCTCTGTGCCACCCCTGAGTACGCCCAGGGCGAGGATGTTTTGGACGCGGTGTACGCTTTTCACTTGTGTGAAGACGCGGCGGACCCAACGAGCGTTAACACCCCCTCCCCGGTAACAAACAACAGCGACCAAACGCTCAGCTATGGCTCTGCCACCGCCACGTACGACGTGGAGGACGGCGAAGGTGACCCAACGACATACGCCATAACCGTGACCATGCCCGGCGAGAACTCGGAGAACGCCGTTCAGATTCACAAGGTGGTGACGGGGACCATGGCGCTGATTTTTTCTTTCCTCATCGTGGTTTTAGTGTTGTACGTCTCCTGGAAGTGCTTTCCAGCCAGCTTAAGGCAACTAAGACAGTGCTTTGTAACACAGCGCAGAAAGCAGAAGCAGAAACAGACCATGCATCAAATGGCTGCCATGTCAGCCCAGGAGTATTATGTTGATTACAAACCCAACCACATTGAGGGAGCCCTGGTCATCATTAATGAGTATGGATCTTGTTCCTGTCACCAGCAGCCAGCGAGGGAATGCGAGGTGTGATTTTCCTTGGGGATTTAAACAGTGTGCAACCAAATAACAGCGTGCAGGCAGACAGTGGCACGGGGTGGGGGGGGGTTGCTGTGCTTTGCTGGTGATTTCTGACGCGCTCCTCTGCCGAAATTGTTAAGAGGGGCTGTCCAAAAGACTTGATATTTTAGCTTTATGGTGTCTTAAAAACCTTCAGGACAGTCAAATCTTAAGATTTCATATGCTAATACTCCCTTTGAAGATCTGTCAATATTCAGGAATCTGAGAGTGTAAAAAGGTACCAATTATTGATCTTTTGTAAACTAAGAAAACTGTTTAAAATAAAAAAAAATAGCATTTACAGTTTTTACAGACTGGTGTACATTACATGAATTGTTCCCTGTATACAAAATGCAACAGTTTAACCTCTTTTTCTCTTCATACTGAGTGTTGAAATGAAAGTCTAGGAGCAAAGAAGCCACGTAAAATAGAAAGCTTAAAATTAACCAGATGGCTTCACATTGTAATTAGTACACATTCACTTACATCACGTTGCTGAAGATATGAAGCATGACACTGGAATTATATTTTTGTTAATGTGCTACCTGTAATTGGATGTCAGTACAAGGAGCCAGTGCACCTCAGAAAGGCTGAAGTTTTGACCGTGTCCCTGGGACAGGATTTCTGAGGGGTTTTAAGTACAGCTCACGTGTTAGTTGCTGTGAGATCCATAAAAACTGCACCATAACCCCTGAAAGTATTTTGTATCAAAACTGATCATATTGCAAAGTCTCACTAAAAAAATAACCAACAAACCCCAAACAACCGAAACACTGCCAGAATGTGCTCCTCGTAATTTTCTTTAAAATAAAAAAGCCAAAAAAAAAACCCCAAATTAAAAATTAAGGGCTTTTACTAGCATTTCCCACTTCTCTGCTTGTTTTGAGATATGCTAAGAGCAAAGAAACCCTTGCTTTGGGCACTGTGGTGCCATGGTGAATGGGGAAGAGCAAAAGCTGTTCGGTTCTCAGTGGTGAAACCTGTGTGTCTTTCAAGAGTAAAACCTTGGCAGTGACACTGTCAGAGTAAGACAGAGAGCTATTAGAGCATACTTCTGGGTCCTAGAGTAAACTGCTAGCAAAGCCTATCTCGTGTCCCTCCCTTTCACCACCAGCCTTCACTAACAGAACAATTCTTAAATCTCTGCAGAGGCTGAAAGTATACGAACCCTCCTTACTAATGACTGATCAATGGAACTGATGGATATAAGCAGTGACTTAACAATGTAGAATCACACGGCTGTTTTATTTGACTGCCCTTAAATAAAGGCTTCCTTTCCTTGAATTTTGGATTTTTCATTCCAGTATGTGAAGCAAACCTACTGATTGATCTTTTCAACAACTCCTCTCAGACCGATGAAGGTGAGGTAGTTTTATAACATCAGGCAGAGCATCTTGAAATTTTCTTCATACAGCATTACATGCTAATAAAATGTCATGGATAATGAATTGGGTAACATTTCTCTGCTTTGTAAATATCTCTCTACCCTTACGTTACTACCAATAGAGGAAAAATTCAGAAATCTCTACAATATTTCAATATTTTAATTTAACACAGGTTTTTTTCTTTTGTATAGCACCAAAGTGCCACCTACTTTTAAAAGGCTACAGCAGACTTACAAAGCAGAAAATAGGCACAGAATAAAAAAAAATTTTTTTTTTTTTTTTTTTTTTTTTTTTTCCCCTGCACAGCAGGTTTTGGCCATTAATTTTGAATGTAAAAAGTGATTTATTTTTTTTTTTCCCTCACTGACACTACTTTTATGGAGTCAGAACTTATTTTCCTCTATTTGGTACTATCTATCACATACTGTTTAATATTAAATATGACGATAGCCTCTTAATCAAATTTTTTTTATTTGGTGAGACTATAATGTCATTTGTGAAAGCAATGAGATTACGAATTGGGAGAGGACTTTTTTTCATAGAAAATGTCATGGAAATCAACTGCTTTGCTTTATAAAGCCACTGAAACTTCACCCACAGCTTTGAAACAAGCTAGCACTGTTAAAACTAGGTTTTTCTCTCTTTAAACAAATGCACACTTTTGTTTCTGAGCCTCACACCCACAAGGGCCTGATCCAGCCTGAAACTCCCAAGTGAGCTGAGGGGCTGAACGTCCACATACAAACCCAACAGTGAGGGCAGGGAGTAGGTACAGAGCCCCCTGTCTCTTTGGGTGCCTGATCATATTTTAAGAGAATATACTTTATGCCGTGCTAACTGAGGGCCAAACTATAGGTATTTTCCCCATGAAACCCTCCTCTGGAATCAATAGGGAATTTTACTGTGAAAAATTGGCTCTCTAACTTTGGACGAGGTTATGTGTTCCTCAAATTAACATGCAGCACTGCAGCTAGGAGGACTGATTGCAGCTAGTTGCCAGGAAGCTTCCAAAACCAACCAAGACCGTTAAAATATTGTCCGCATATGGTAAAAAAAAATACGAATTAGCTTTATTTCTATAGTGACGCCCTGTTGCTATAAGGAAACGTATTAGTGCAGTCACGGTTTTGCCCCTGTAAATCTGATGCAAGACTGATAACCAACAATCATCCCGTGGTTGTATTTCTATGTATTTTTAACATATTTGTGGGTTGTATTTTAAACACACTAGTGATTGCACCCCTCTGGTATTATT